TATATTTTTTTTTTTTTTAAATCTACTTACTCCAAAGTAAAAACAACACACTGTTATTGATATAGATAATGTATTAATAAATAGAAAGGCCAGCTGATTATCCCAGTGACACTCACCTCTCCGTCTGCAGCGGCGGCTGAAGTCATCTTACTCACACAGTAAGCTTTTTTCCTGTTGTGAGCACTGTACACACGCATCACCCTAAGACACAGATTTTACATGCTGTCAGTATACAAAACCATGTAAAAAATGTTTCTCTAAAATTCTAATAACAAGACTCTTGTCTATGATAATCTGTAATGGCTTGAAATTAAGCAGTTGAAATCTACACACTAACCTGTCACAGCTTAATGTGCTGATGTACTGTCCAAGTGGGTCCCATGTTACTCCTTGCACATAACTCTTATGATCATTAAAAATGCACATCTTTTGACCTGCAAACAAAACAGGGACTGAATTCAATAACCACAAAACACCCAATAAGGTTCTGCTCACAAAAAAAAAATTCACCGTCATAATTTATCCTGTCACATATCACTTCAATAAAAACAAAAATACGTATGCAATTCCTTAGTCCTGCTTCAGGTTTCATACCCTTGTTGACATCCCACATGATGGCAGTGTTGTCCACAGAGCCCGAAACCATGAAATTCCCATCACTTGTCCATGAGATATCATATACATCCTCAATATGTCCCCTAACAAACACAGGCAACAACATGAGCATTTAAGATTCTACAAAAGTAAATGACTTAAAGTTGCAATGAAATGCAATTAGTGGCAGATATTTTCTTTAATATTCTGACATACATAAAAATAAATAGTAATAAAAAAATCATAATAAAGGACGGGGACTTGGTTTATGCATTGGTTGTTGAATATATGGAGGCAGATCATCTGAGTGTGAGCCTGCAGAAAATGGCAGGATTTAAGTAAACTAAAATTGAAAAAGTCCAGCATACATTAACAGAGAGAAGTCTGTCATTTCACCAGAAGACTAAAAATTACAAATCTCGAAAAAACTAAAACAGACAATAAAGACATTTAGATGGATGCATTGTGCACAAGATTAATAACCTTCATTTAGTTCATGTGAATTTTCATTCCACGACATTTTTGATGTAAAAGACAGTCAAAGGGGACTTTTTAAGAAATAAAATAAGACCTCAGCGTTTTGACGACACTCCAGCTCTCTTTATTGAGCTGATCATCTTCATCTTCCTGAAAGGCCGGGGTTTGTTCAGGCTCCTTATTGCCATTCAGTTTCCAAAGCAAGATTGCAGCATCTTGAGAAACAGACATTTAATTAAACCATTTAAAGGCACTTCCAATTTCAACAAACTTACCCGGGTAAAGATCTGACTTTTAAACTCACCATCCCCTCCAGAAGCCAAGACTTGAAACAAGTCAACAAAGCTCTTACTTGGCCGGTGACACTGCGTTCTCTCCCGCCACAGATCTTTCACTGCTCTCTCCTTCCTTTTTGATCCCATTCTCAAGGTTTGCAGCCGTGCTTGCTCTGCATGTTTGTTCTGAACTGGTGTTACTGTCCTTCAGAGTCTCTTGCTCTCTTGCATTGCTCCACTCCTCTCTTTGTTTCCTCAGCTCTTCTATTTCCTTCTGCAACAGCTCACAGGCGTTCTCCTGCTCCAAGCTCTCCAACTTTCAGAATACAGTTGAGTTTGCGGGTATTGAAGAATGAAAGAAAAGGAAAAAAGAATAAAAGTCTAAGCCTGACTGATTAAATAATGGGCATTCTTGCAGGAAAGACCAACACTTGTGGAACAGGATACTGTAATGTCCCCATCATTTTTTAACCAGCATGGCTTCCACGATCAGCCAGCTTTACCACTATAATTTACCTTCACATGCAGGCAAGTTTTTCCAGTTAAGAAGTCAAATGCACTTAAAATTCTGTCCTTTACTAACCCTCATTTAATTGCAAACCCTTAAGACTTTGGTTCAACTTCAAAACAAAAGTGAAAATATTGTTTTGTTCAGTGTATATACACATAATAAATATACACCAGTACACATATAATATATGTTCACAAAAACCTTTATTTTGGATGCGATTAATCGCTGCCCAGCACTAGTACAGTTATATATAAATACACATACAGTATATATTTTGAACATATTTACATTTACATGCCTATATTTATATTCATATAATTTATATTATAAATAAATATATTTAATATATAAACATAATATTTTTCTGAAATATATACATGCACGTGTGTATTTATATATACATAAATATAGACAGCACACATACATATATTATGTAAACAAAAACGTATTTTGGATGCGATTAATCGCGATTAATAATTTTGACAGCACTATTAAAAAAAAAACTAAATTCTTTGCAATCTTGCACTGAGAAATGTTATTTCTGAATGGTTTGATAATCCTTTCATTACGTTTGGCAAAAAGTAGTAAGCCACGATCCATCTTAGATTGCAAAGACTGATACTTTCGTGGATGCTTCTTTTTTTACCCAATCATGATACCCTCACCTATAACCAATCCACCTGCTAATTGTGGAATGTTTTAAAACAGTTTAACTGGGATATTCTGTAATCTTTTCACTTTTATTTAGCCTCTGTCCCACTTTTTTTGTGGAGCGTTACAGCATTCAAAATCAAAATTAGTTTATACATCTACAAAATACAATTAAGTTGGTCAGTGAAAACACTGGAAATCTGCTTCATTGTAGTTTTGTCAGTTAAATAAAGGTTAAAGAGAATTAACAAATCATAATTCTTGTTTTTACTGCATTTTACAAAATGTCCCTACTTTTCTGGAAATGGGGTTGTATGATGAACAGATTACATTTTTATTCACAAACAGAAGCTCATATGTGCTTGGTTACTGAGCGAAAACCAACAAGGTTTGTTCTTGTGTGTTACTCAAGTGTAGTTCAGCTTCCATTGATCATATTTGATTAGAATGAAGTGTTTAAAGATTTGGAAGAACTGACATTCAAAGGAGAAACAGAAATCTTTCAGATTTTATAAAAAATATCTTAAAGTGATTCAAAGATGAACAAAAGTCATTCAGATTTGTAACAATATGAGTAGATGTGAGTAGATGACAATTTATCTTTTTGGTGAACTTTCCCTTTAAGAGCATCAAAACCATACTAACCAGGGGTGCGTTTCCCAAAAGCAACCATGGTCGCAGGTTCCATTGTTAATAGATTTCAACGGTATTAACTACCATAGTTAGCCAACAATGCTTTTGGGAAACGCCAACCCTGGGTGGAAATCCATGCATTTTCTGGAGGGACTATTGTCATTTCATTTTTTATTACTTATGAGAATATACGGAGTCAAAAATATCAGGTTCTCACCTTTCTTCTCAGTTCATTGCATTCATTGTTGCGCTTGTCCAGCTCCCTTTGAAGCAAGTCCATTTGAAGAGCCACTTCGTCATTTACATTTGTTGTTGATGAGTGTTCTTCCCCCTCAGCTTTCAACCAGTCACAACACACCTTGTCCTGTGCTTCTTTCTCAACTTTGATTTGCAACAACACCTCATGTTTAATTTTTAACTCATCCCTCTCTTTCATAATCTCTTTGATGCAGTGGGTGGTTTGTACGTAGAAAGTGTTAAAGTGTGTTATATATGTCATTCCTTCCTGGTTTTCTACATTTGAATTTTCATTCATCTTATTCTCCCTAGGTATCTCCTCTAGTTTTTCAAGATTTAGTCTGGAAACTTCTATGCTACTACATCTCTCAACTTCCATGGGGCCTTTGATTATTTCTGTATTGTTTCTTATCCTACGTTCCACCTCATTAGTGCTCTGTTCCATCCTTCTCACATCACTCTCAATCTCCTCCTTCTTGATCTCAACTTCTTCCTTTCTTATCTGCTCGTATTTCTCCACCTTTACAATCAAACGTTCTGTTTGGGTTTTTATGCTTGTTTGGTCATTGAAAGTCGATGCTTGCATCCTTTCCTTTCTGGTGTTTTCAGTTTCAGTTTTTATGGAACCATGATCATTGGACTCAATATATAATCCTGGTGCATCATCGCTGGTCTTTTCTTCCATCTTCACCTTAGAAAGGTCAAAGGGTTTGGGTCTTGACGTGCTGTGGGTCTCATAAATAACAACATTGTTGTCGTAGTCACTGCTCTCTACACTGTTTTCATCAACTTTATTGCCATCATTGTCTGCCGCCAAAGGTGAGGTTATGAAATCTGATGTAGCTGCAGATGTTGATGGACTACCTGGTGTGTTGCTACAGTAGTCATGTAATGTTCTTGCTCTTTTTACAGTTTGGCTCTGGGATAAACCTGGACTTCTCTTTGTTCTGAAGAAGACAGGTTTGAAATCATGTTGTGTGCAAAAACAGAATTAAGAGAATGAATGGAAATATGTGTGTAAAAATAGAGAACGGAAGAATGAGAATGATGTACCTTTTAGGAGTGGAGATTGACATGACCTTTGAAATCACTGGCATGCTGTCCGAGGGGCTAGAAGCTGTTTAAACACAAAGTATTAATACAATAATTCAGGTTCTCTATCAAAAACAACTGCACACACAATGTGGCCTCACCAGACTGTGAAAGGGGCATTGAATTGAAAGGGCTCATCGCTGTCAAAGAGGCCGTAGGCGATCTGGGTGAGGAAGGACCCTATGTAAACAAAAAGACTTCAATCTGTTCCGGGAACTTATAATTGCTTAATATAGCTTTGGTTTAAAAAAAAAATATTTTTTTTAAAAAAACGTACTGAAGTTTTATCTTCAGAATCTTCGGCATCTTCTGGTCCTTCACATCGCCTGGATGTAGAAAGTACACACAAAATTACATTTGTTGATAAATATCACTGATATCTAACCTACATTGCATGCTTAGACATGAAACATTGCTCAAATGCACTGAAATTAATTTCTGTGTTTTCATATATTATCTGTTCAGGGATGCAAACCCATAAGGGGATAAAAAAGCACTATTTCTAGTCATTTTAAAATCTCAAGACCAGGGGTGTCCAATCCTGCTCCTGGAGGGCCACTGTCCTGCAGAGTTTAGCTCCAACCACAATTAAGACAAGTTGGAGCTAAACTCTGCAGGACAGTAGCCCTCCAGGACCGAGTTTGAACACCCCCTGCTCAAGACATAATACATTAGATACACAACAGCAGAATTACTAATCCAATCAACCTTATTTATTTAGCCTATATTTAAAAAGCCTTGTAGGTAGTTCAATAAAGGTGGATGATTATGATGATCAAGTAATTTTTGTTATTTCAAGGGTCAACACAGGTGTATATACAGTGGGTACGGAAAGTATTCAGACCCCCTTAAATTTTTCACTCTTTGTTATATTGCAGCCATTTGCTAAAATCATTTAAGTTAATTTTTTTTCCTCATTAATGTATATATATATATATATATATATATATATATATATACATACACATACACACATATACATATATAACTAACTGTATATACAGTGCCTTGTGAAAGTATTAATTTTTTCATGTTTATGTTGCAGCCACATGTTAAACTGCTTTAAATTACTTTTTACCCCCACATCAATCTACACTCCATACAACATAATGACAAAGCAAATAACAGGTTTTTAACATCTTTGCAAATTTATTAAAGATAAAAAGCTTAAATGATTCCATTGCATAAGTATCTGGGAAAGTTGAAATTTAGCTCAGGAGCATTCATTTTGCTTGTAAATGTTCCCACACTTTGAGTGAAGCTAACCTGTGGCAAATTCAATTGAATGAGTATGATTTGGAAAGGCACACATGTCTTAATAAAAGGTATAACAGCTGAAAAGGCATGTTAGAGCAAAGACCAATTTCAGAAAATAATGATGCTGCATTGAAGGTTCACAAAAGCATGTAGCCTCCATTATCCATAATAGAAAACATTTGGAACAACCAGGACTCTTCCTAGAGCTGGCCTCCTGGCCAAACTGGGCAATTGATGAGAAGGGCTTTGGTTAGAGTGGTGACCAAGAACCTGATGGTCACTCCAGTTGAGCTCCATGATCATATGTGCAGATAGGAGAAACCAACAAAAGGATAAACATCGCTGCAAAACTCCACCAATCTGTGCTTTATGCTGGTGTGGCCAGACTCAATCCCCTCCTCGGTGAAGACACATGAAAACACACTTGGGATTTGCAAAAAAGCACCAAAAGGACCCTCAGACTGTGAGAAACAAGATTCTCTGGTCTGATGAACCTCAATTCTAAGCATCATGTTTGAAGGAAACCAGCTCCACTCATCACCTGCAGAGTACCATCCCAAAAGTAAAGTGCGCTGGTAGAGGCCTCATGCTGTGGGGCTGTTTTTCAGCGGCAGGGACTGGGGGACTCATCAGAGTAGAAGAAAA